GGCTTTGGTGCTCACTGAGTCTGCCCCCTGAGTGTGTCCCTTATGGATCCGAGGAGCTGCTATCTAGATGGTCCCACTCTGACCACCAGGCACACTGGCTCCTGGATCTCTAATGAGGTGCTAATCTAGCCTCTGCCTGAGGCTATCCAGCAGGAGCCAGCTGTGATGCAATGCAAGTTGCCCTGGGGCCTTGGGGCAGCTGCAGTTTATTAGGTAATTATCAGATTGCACAGGGCCAGGCCTTTCATATGCAAAAGCCTCGTGCATGGCTTGGGTGGGGCGGGGCCCTAGGAGATTAACAGGGTGGAACAAGCAGCTATGGCTGCCCTCAGAGGCCCTGCTTCTCAGTGTCCTGGCAATTGCTGCAAGCAACTCCGAGAGAAAGCTGCCCTCGAGTTCCGACTGATGCCAGACAGTCCAGTTTCTCCCCGTATGAGTCTGGGTCCCCAGAGACTCGCCCGGAACTGGAGCTCAGAGCTTGAGACTCCCTCCCGATTGAAAAAGACAACTGTGTCCTCAGCCGCCAGCCCTCTCCACTTGTGCCTCTGTACCTTTGTATTTTACTTCTGCACCACACCTCCTCTGAGTCTCGGTATGCTTTTCTCTTTCCGTCTAGTTGTAGAATTTCCACTCAGCCAGCCTTCCTGTGGTTCTGGATGATGTCCATTCCATCTTTTAGTTGTAATTTTGAAGTGGTTTTGTGAGGCAGCAATCTCCGGTGTTTACCTATGCCGCCATCTTGGTTTTTTTCCTAATTTCATTATTTTCCATACAAACAATTGTAAACCTACTTTGCCCCACCCTGTAGTAAATATTTATGTGACACTAAAAGTATTTATATAAAAACTACAAAGCTTCTCAATTTAAATTTTCATTCCTCTTTTGAGAGTTGGAAAAAATACAGCTTAATTTTTCCTATATGGTTATCAAAATTACTCATTATGAGTGTACCCAAATGTTGATTATAGTTTAATATAAACATATAAAGCTTTTAAGTTCAACTGACCCATAGTGTATTTATTGTATGGCCACAAACTCTTAACTTATGTTTTTAAAAAAATATATATTTTTATTGATTTGGGAGAGGGAGAGATAGGAACATCAATGATGAGAGAGTATCATTGATTGGCTGCCTCCTGCATGCCCCACAATGGGAATAGAGCCGGCAACCCTGGGCATGTGCCCTGACCAGGAATTGAACTGTGACTTCCTGGTTCATAGGTTGACGCTCAACCACTGAACCACGTTGGCTGGGCTTAACTTATTTTTATGATTTTTTTCCTGATTTTTCTTACACCTAATTTAAAATAATAGCCATGCCTAGAAAACTATGTGTAAAATAATAAGACCTCTGTTGTTTTTTACTCTATACAGTAATTCCCCTCTTATCTGTGGGAGATGTGTTCCAAGACCCCCAGTGGATGCCTAAAGCTGCAGATAGTACTGAACATAGTACAGTATACTCTGTTTTCTTTCTATAAATGCATACCTATGATAAAGTTTATAAAAATCAGGCAAGTTCATAGTTACAAGATTCATTCTTACTGTTCTTATCTAAGCAACCTCAGCATATTTTCTTTCTTTCCTTATTAAGAACTTTCACCTTTTCACTTAAGGAAGCACTTTATGACTTCTCTTCGGCATATTCAAATTGCCAGCATCATTACTCTTGAACTTTGGGGCCATTAATAGGTAAAACAGGGTTACTTGACCACAAGCACTGCCATAGCACAACAGTTGATCTGATAACAAAGATGGCTACTAAGTGACTAACGGGTAGATAGTGTATACAGCATGGATATACTAGGCAAAGGAATAAAGTAGGACAGTATGAGATTTTATCACATTACTCAGAATGGCATGCACTTTAAAACTTATGAACTGTTTATTTCTGTAATATTTTATTTAATACTAGGGGCCCAGTGCATGAATTCATGCAGTCTCTCTTGGCTCTGTTTCTGCCTCCCGCCCCAGTGCCCTCCTTCTCCCCGTTCCCATCCCTCCCTTCTCCTCCCATCTCCTCCCTTCTCCTCCCTCCTTTCCCATGTCCCAATAGCGGCTCGGGCTGCCAAGCGCCCGCCCCTCCAGCCTTCTCTGTGCTTGCTCATTGGCTGAAGCCTCAAGGATGCGTCCTGGGATGAGGGAACATTCTGCCGTATAAAGAGAGCGGGAAAGGCAGGAGACAGCGCAGTTTGAATCGCTTGAATCGCGGTGCAAGGGAGTCGGTGCTGGGATCTTCCAGTGTGTCTGGCTCCTCCTTTCTCTGCCCTGCTCGCTTGAGCTTCAGCAGAAATCGACATGGCTGGTGGTGAGGCTGGGAAAGACTCCGGAAAGGCCAAGACAAAGGCGATTTTCCGCTCGCAGAGAGCCGGCTTGCTGTTTCCGGTGGGCCGTATTCATCGACTGCCACCCGCTGATGGACTGGCGCCAGGCATGGGCAGCAGGTGTGAGCGGCGGCTATGGGGTCGGCTGTGGGTGTGAGTGGGGCTGGTACCGGCAATGGGTTTAAGTGGTGGCTCCAGTGCTCGTAGTGGGTGTGAATGGGGCTGGCACTGGCAGCAGGTGCGAGCGCTGGGTAGGACTGCGGTGCACGGGAGCAAAGAATTTTCAGCAACCATCAGAGGCTCACCCTGATGACAGTGATCAGCACCCCATCTTGGTCTGGCGCCCCCACTCACCTGCTCCACCATCCCGTCGCAGCTGACACCCGCCATGTTCAGCACTCTGCTGCCTGCTGCCAACTTGTCCTTCATTACCCTCTGTATACTGATGATTTTGACCTATAGCTCAGAGCCAGGTTCAAGGTTTTCTGAGGCCTGAAGCTTACACAATTAGAAGACCCTCTTAAGAAAATTAATACAGCTGATTAAATATAGAATTGTTAGGGCTTGTCTCAGGTCCTTAAAAGGGGCCTTTGCAAGAGACCTGAAGATTTACTTCATCAGCTTCACAACAAATCTGCCTCTGTGCTATAGATATACCTTAAACACAGATATTTTTCTTAGTGAATACAGAACTATTCTCAAGTTGCCTACTAGATGGATATTTCTTTTTTAAAGTCCCCCTTAAAATTAACAGACCCACAGTTGAAATTGGTGTCTCTCCTTCCCACTTCTCCACCACTATCACCAGGAACTTGCTAGTTTTCCTATATTCTCCAGATCAGGAAATAGCACCCGAATCCATCCAGTTGCA